TTCAATTAAATGCAATGTAGATCCTGTCAGATTTTGTTTACTCAATAACAATTCTTAAAATATAATTTGTCTATTTTATTTCAGGAGATAATATTTTACTGAGATCTGGCTTAATATATCAAAAGAGAAATGTCAGACGATTCAAGCTTGTATAGATTAGAGGGATCTGTAGGAAATGAAGGAGGTGGTCTGGTCATACGTAAGAAAACATCAGATCATACTTTCAAGAAACCTTCTATACTAGGTCTTGACAAGCTTGCAGAACGAAAAAGAAAAGAGCAATCGCAGGAGCCTACCAGCTCCAAGTCTAACAAATCTGAAGGAAAGGACAGAAGATATCGATCTTATGAAGAGGAGACTCCTACTCACACTGGAGGTGTCAATTCTGAAGCGCAACAGAGATTAGAATCAAGACTCAAGCGTCAACGATTAAGTGCAGATGATAGGAACTCTAAAAATTCCTATAAAAGTCGCGAGAGAGACAGAGACAGACGAAGGGATCGAGACAGGGAAAGTAGAGGCAGAGACAGTAGCATAAGACAAACGCCTCTTAGATTCAAGGATGAGCCCCAAACGCCGAAATTTCGAACGAAAGATCCGACTTCTAAAAGCAATTGGGACGACGACGAGGATGAAGAGCCAAAACGATCCAGCTGGGATCATCCGACACCAAATCTGTACACTAACAGAGATGGTCGCGATAGTGTCAGAAGTGAATTTACTCCTTCCTATAAATACAACTCGTGGAACAAAGATTTTAAGAATTCCGGTATTACTCCGATGATAAACGGAGAGGAGAAGGAAATGTGGGAAGAGGAACAGCAACGACTAGACAGAGAATGGTATGCGTTAGATGATGGAGAGAATAACGCTTTCGCTAATGTATCCGAAGAATATACGCGGAAGAAGGAAATGGAGTTGGAGGCCAGGAGACAGAAACGCCTTTCTGCTCAGCAAAGACAAATAAATAAGGACAATGAATTGTGGGAGCGTAACCGTATGTTAACGTCCGGAGTTGTGAGCTCGTTAGATCATGACGACGATCCTGATGACGAGGGAGAGGCGAGAGTTCACTTGCTGGTTCATAATGTAGTCCCGCCGTTTTTGGATGGACGTATCGTGTTCACGAAGCAACCGGAACCAGTTGTACCTGTGCGTGATCCTACTTCTGACATGGCTTTGGTAGCAAGGAAAGGTTCGGCACTAGTCAAAGCATACCGTGAGCAAAAGGAAAGACGCAGGGCACAAAAAAAGCATTGGGAACTAGCAGGAACACACATCGGCAATATTATGGGTGTACATGATCGGCGTAAAGACGATAAAGAGCATGCAGGGCAAGAAACAGATTTTAAAGCTGGGCAAAAATATGCCCGGCACATAGGGTCGGGAGAAGTAACGGGGGAAGCTAAGTACAAATCTATTCAGCATCAAAGAAGGAGTCTTCCTGTATTCGCGGTACGTCAGGAACTGCTCAATGTTATCAGGGAGAACAGCGTTGTTATAATCGTAGGCGAAACTGGTAGTGGTAAAACCACGCAATTAACGCAGTATCTTCACGAGGATGGCTACAGTCGCTATGGTATAATTGGTTGTACTCAGCCAAGAAGAATAGCTGCTATGTCCGTCGCGAAAAGAGTATCCGACGAGATGGCTACTGCTCTAGGCGACAAGGTCGGATATGCAATACGTTTCGAAGATTGTACGTCGAAGGATGTGAGTAATAATAATAATTTATTATAAATATAATTTTAATATCATAAATAAATAGTGTAACTTTGGCCTAAAGTTTGATAATGTCTAGACAGCATATTTTAAGACGTCTTATGTTTGGATATCGGCATTGTTTTTATTTGAACTAAAGTTATTTTATCTTCATATATTTTGTCATAAAATTTCTATATATTTTGACATGTATAAATTTTATTTTTACAGACTGTCATCAAATATATGACCGATGGTATTTTACTGAGAGAAAGTTTGAGAGAAGGAGATCTGGATCGTTACAGCGTGGTTATAATGGACGAAGCTCACGAACGATCACTTTCCACCGACGTATTGTTTGGTCTTCTTAGAGAGGTATATAGTTCGCATTATATAGTATTCGTGGTATATAGTATTCGCGTTTTTATCTTATTATTTAAACATTTATCATATTATACAGTCTGCTTAATTTAGAAATGTTTCTAGGTTGTCGCTAGACGGCATGATCTAAAATTAATCGTCACTTCCGCAACGATGGACTGCAGCAAGTTCTCCGCTTTCTTCGGTAACGCAGCAACATTCCAAATACCTGGACGTACGTTCCCCGTCGAAGTACTGCACGCGAAGAATCCAGTCGAAGATTATGTGGATGCGGCTGTAAAACAAGTTTTGCAAATTCATTTACAGCCTAAAAGCGGTGACGTATTAGTCTTTATGCCCGGTCAAGAGGACATCGAAGTCACTTGCGAAGCTTTAAAAGAACGTTTAGCTGAAATCGAATCGGCTCCGCCACTTTCTATACTGCCCATTTATTCCCAACTGCCGTCGGACTTGCAGGCAAAGATCTTTCAACGGTCCGAGGAAGGTCTACGTAAATGTGTCGTTGCGACTAATATAGCGGAAACGTCGCTGACGGTCGATGGAATTATCTTCGTCGTTGATTCAGGATACTGTAAATTAAAAGTGTACAATCCTCGAATAGGTATGGACGCTCTGCAAGTATATCCCGTGTCTAGAGCCAATGCCGATCAAAGGCAGGGCAGAGCTGGTCGTACCGGTCCTGGTCAATGCTACAGATTGTACACGCGACGACAATACTTGGATGAATTATTACTAACAGGAGTTCCCGAAATACAACGTACTAATTTAGCTAATACGGTATTACTACTGAAATCGTTAGGCGTTCAAGACTTATTGGCGTTCCATTTCATGGATCCACCACCACAAGATAATATATTGAATTCATTGTATCAGTTGTGGATCTTGGGGGCGCTTGATCATACCGGACGCTTGACCCCACTAGGACGACAAATGGCAGAGTTTCCCTTGGATCCACCGCAATGCCAAATGCTCATAGTTGCTTCTCAACTCGGTTGTACTGCGGATATCCTTATCATCGTTTCGATGCTGTCAGTTCCATCGATCTTCTACCGACCAAAAGGACGCGAAGAAGATTCAGATTCAGCACGCGAGAAGTTTCAGGTGCCAGAATCAGATCATCTGACATATTTAAATGTATACAATCAATGGAAGGCGAACGGTTATTCGAGTTCCTGGTGTAATGATCATTTTATACACGCGAAGGCTATGCGCAAGGTGCGGGAGGTACGATCGCAGCTCGAGGAAATTCTGAAGCAACAGAAGATGGATGTCGTTAGTTGCGGCACTGACTGGGATATCGTACGGAAATGTATCTGCTCTGCCTACTTTCATCAAGCAGCACGTTTGAAAGGCATTGGTGAATACGTCAATTGCCGTACTGGAATGCCTTGTCACCTTCATCCCACTTCCGCGCTGTTCGGTATGGGCTTCACACCTGATTACGTCGTATACCATGAACTCGTGATGACCGCCAAGGAATACATGCAATGTGTCACTGCGGTGGACGGTCACTGGTTGGCTGAATTGGGCCCAATGTTCTTCAGTGTGAAAGAGACTGGTCGAAGTGGCCGTGCGAAACGACGGCAAGCAATGCAGCACCTCCATGAGATGGAGCATCAAATGAAGGAGGCCGAGGAGGAGATGAAGGCACGCGCTCAAGAGCAACTTGAACGAGAACAGGCGTCAGTTCGAAAGAAAGAGATTTTAACGCCTGGTATTAGGGAACCGGGTACTCCTGCTCCGTATCGTAACACGCCCGGAAGATTAGGATTGTAATCAGTTTTTCTACAATGTGTTGAGTTAATCCTATTTAATAGATAAAACATGCATTTTTTAATATAATTCTGTAGTACAGAAATTATTATTGTATAAAATAGTATGATGACAAAAAATAGATATAATTTGATGATTTGACAATTCTTCATTGTGGCTGCAGCGTCAGTGATAAAATTTTTAATCTTAATGATCCCTGGATTTCTTTTATTGAGTTTCCATCTTGTAGCACAAACAATACAATAATTACAATGTACATTTACATTATAATCTTTACACTTTCAAATTAAGTAATAATTTAGTCTATGACTTCAAAAATAATAAATATAGATAACAATTTAATTTTTTTTAGATAATTATTAATATTGTACAAAGTTTTATGTGTATAAAATATCATTGGATGTGATATGTATAATATCTTTTGTAAATAAAATTATTTTTATTGTAATATTGAGAAAATGTTTTTTGTCATACCTGCAGCCAGTTACTCTTGGCCATTGATGCTTATATATATATATATATCTAATGGGCCGTTAGAAAGAACATTGGTATATAGTAGTATATACCGATGATTGATCACATCAGTAATGTACACATTAATAAGTACGTATAAAAAATTTACGTATGTTTATTAACGTATACATTAACTATACAATCAACAGTATATCAATCTTTTACTTTAACTGTGAATTACGCAGATAAAATAAATATGTAACTCTCTGCACTCTTATTAGCAATTTATTCCTTTCCAGTAAGCAGTTTATCATTTTTTAAACCGATTTTTATCGGATTATTTAACAATTATCAATTACTTAATAATAAATTTATTAATATATAGAATTGCGAAAGAACCAATATATATGTCACAGATTGTCACAAAATATAATTCAATGCTATTCATAAGCATATTATTCCTTAAAATTCTATGAAAATAGATCATAAAATATACGATGTTGATTCATGCGCGAACCGATACTTTTTGCAATTTTTAATATATAAAATAAATTTATTTTAATGAAAAAAATGGCACATAACTATAAATAGATAGACCATGTTTTAAATCGATAAAATTAATACCTTTTTTAGTTCTGAAAATTTTAAAAATCGTAGAAATATTGTTTTAATTTTTACATTTGTTTCTTGATTTAAAAGAATGTGTTAGTTGTAAGCTGATCAAATGGCAGTGTATTCAAATGACTGCACAGTATTTTTCATAAAAATGAAAGTAGGCTCAGGTATTTTAAACAGCATTAAATCATTCATTCATTATTTATAATTGAATTGAGACTAAGAATTATGTACAGAACTCTCAAGTCATTTTTTGAAAATTATGAAAAGTAGACGGATATAATTGTTCTTTGTACAAATATACTGTCGAATAATTTCAGCTCTTTAAATTGCTTAAAAGCCTTAATATGGGCTGAGTGCGAGATTTGAGGGCTCTGCAACTTTGTCGGAGACTCGCTTGTCCGCGTTTTATAATAGTGACACATACATCATTCTCATCCAATCCTGTGTATAACTCATATTTTTCAAATTCAGTTAGGACCGCATCTAAATTTTCGACTCTCTCTGATAGTAACACAGCTACTTCTCGCCAAACCTGTAATACAATAAGTAATATATTGCTATAAAAATTATAATATTAAAGCTTCATAAATATATATAACATTAATATTTTATAAAGCACATAATATAACAAAAATAATTATTTGTTATACTCTCTCTTCACAGTTCTATACATATAAAACATCGATTATCAATATAAAAAATTTACCTTGGTCTCATTGGTCTCGTTTATCATATTTGATTCGATTTTTTTATTATATTTCTTCTTATTTTTCTTTTGTGATTGTGCGCGTGGCTCCGATTGTATCGCATATGCACTGCATATAGCGCTAATAATCGCTAAAGATTCGCTACAAGTTGAAGCTCTGAGTAAGAAGTTTTTAAAAGATACAGGTATATCTCGTTCAGGAATAGGTAATGTCTGTAAACAAGGAGTCGTTCGTAACATTTGTATACAATCCAAGTCCGGACAATGAGAGTAAGAAAGTGATTTTGCAAGGCACGCTATAGTCCTTAATTGCTCAGAATGATAAGCTTCGCGCAATCTTTCTACAGCATCAAATGGAACCAATATTTTGCACGGTCTGGTCCGTTTTCCATCTGTGCCAAATTTTTGTAATATATTCGGTATAGTTTCTTCTGCTAATTCTTTAAGCTCGTCAGATATTTGAGAAAGATAAATAGATGATGATCCGGCACTCGCTGCTAAAATGCGCAATATGGCATTTCTCGCCAAAAGTAATTTTAACATACATATGCGTGTCTCCTCCTGCATTCTCGGATCATCCTCGTTCTGATTAATTGGTTCCCATCCGCGAACAACCTATTTAACATTATTATTAAATTTATCACAGATATTAAATCAGAACTTTATATTTCTTTGAATTATATCGCGATACATAAACATACCTCCAAATCACGATTATCTCGCAAAGATGCCAATTTAATCGGATCGAGATGAGGTTGTATGCATGGCATATGCATATGTATATTCAATGTAGAGAACAAAGAGGCAGTACTGTCAGCCCAACACAAATCGAGGAGCATTTTATCTACAGTTGTCATAACAAAATGAAATGAATTTTCTAGGCGTTCCCTTAACTCCACAAAATCTTGAATTTTTATAAAACTTCCATATTTGTACGCAAGTGTTAAGTGATCCGCACTCTATAAAAATAATTATAAAATCTATGAAATAGACACAAAAACCTTATCCATTTTCCTTAAATCTTGTAAGTATACTTGAAAACACATACATCCTTATAGTTGGCTATGAAAAATTTCGCTGTATGATCAAGAGTTGTGGAGGCCAGAGGCAAGTTACCGAGAGGCGCGAGAAGCGGCGCATAAAGATAACCTAGTGAATCTAATTGAAGGTGTTTTACATCAAGTGATGTAAATGCATGATCAGCTGCAACCACTAAACCAGCTTCCAAGTAAATACGCACAAGCAAAATTTTGATGTGAAAATTTACAGGACTCGACTGAAGACCATGTTCCAATAATGACATTGCCCTGTAAGTCCATTATTTTAAAAATGTGCATGTTTTCAAAATGCCGTTAGCATTTTTTCATTAATATCAATTAATTTTGTCGTTATATATAATGGAAACAAATTATATTACCTATAAAGAAAAGATGCATCATTAGTATCAACCCATAATTGATGTAATAAATGCGTAGCTAATAGAATGTATGGATCTGCTGGACAAAAATCAGTTGGCAATCTATCTTGCATTGGACACAATTCATTGCCTTTCTCATACAAATCACATAATCGCTTTATCAATTGTTTTTGTTTATCTCTATCTGCCAAGGGAGGATGATGGAAGCCACAAATACGCCGTAATTGCTCCAAATGAATATGCCTCTGCATTTGTTGTACTGTAGTTGGAAACTCGTTTGGTGCAATACCAATATCTTCCTCAATCTGCAATATCATAAATAATATTGCATTAAGCAATTGCAATAATCATTTTATTAATGTTAATGAATAAAAAACGTAATGGAATAAAAAACATATTTGTTAAGTATGTCGTTAATTTGTTTTATATTTAAACTAAATATTACAGTTTAAGATTAATTTTTCATTATATATATTTAAAAAATATATACATATATATATAAAAGTATGTTGGATTCTCTTTTCTTTACCTTTTCAAATAATTCGAACTTGGACTTGGGTGTGAGTAGGTTTAAATACAATCGTAAATCTCCAACTACGCATCCTTTTTCTCCAAATTGAGAAAAATATTGATGCATAAAATTCATAGAAGTCATACTACATTGCAGATCCTCAGTCTGACATCGCTTCAATAATTCTAAGCGGGCCAAGTATGGCGCGCGAATTTTCTTCTCGGACATATTAATAATATGATTAAAAAAATCCAAGCATTCTGTCAGACGTTGAAACTTTAAGGCCGCCGAAAGATAATTTTGATAAAAAGCCCAATTGTCGATGCTATGTAATAAACACACAATGATTTTAAGTGATACAGGTATAAAGTTATTTATATCAAAATTATAAATATACTGTATAAAATAGTAAAAAAGAATAAAATTAATTAATAAAATTGATCTTACTTCTCTTCAATAAGAGCGCGATATGCGTTAGCAGCTTCAGGAAAACATTCTAGCTTCAATAAACATGTAGCCTTTCGTTGAGGTACATATGAAACATATGAAGCTAAAGGACTAGACAGTACATTTAATATTTCTTCATTTTTGTCTTGCAATTCTAAAATCATCAGATAAAGTTGCACCTCCTGTTCCGCTTCTATCTTTCCCTCTCTCACTAGTTTTAGGACCTAATGTATTCATAGAAAAAAATCATCTTTATATATTTATTTATGTACAAACCAGAGAACTCTATAACTGGAAAGCTTACCACTGTGAAAACAGCCAAGCTGACAAAGAGCATCTAGTAGGGGATTATATTCTTTGTTTCTTTAAGTACTACGTTCCATTATCTCAATCTTCTCAATGCAGATAACACACACATGCAAAACTGAGAAAATAATCTTGTATCAACTGCCTCTCTTGGCTCTTTCATCAAGAATATCCTCTCTCCCTCTTTGTAAGCTTTCCAGTATGTTTTAGAGTTCACTGGTATAAACTAAATAAACTCTATAATTTCATATGCAATCGCAATGGCAATAGTAAACAACAATCGATGCACTAACCATTCTTTCTGCCAAAGGCAAGATAACTCCTTTCGCTAATTTCTGATCAGCATGAATAGCTTGCATTACTATACTCATAACGGCCCAAAAATAATATGGGTTTTTATGAGTCAGTTTATATAAATTAAGAGCAGTTTGTTGTTGTTTTTTATAATCGCCGAGGCGAACGTATGACATGAAGAGATGCGTCAGGAGCTCTTCGTTGTTTGGATCAGCCTTAGCAGCGGCCTCGTAAAGCTCGCTGACTTTGTCTGCTGTATACGTAAATTTAAAATTAACATAATTATCATATAATTAAACTTAAATATGATCTTTATGTTCCAAATCAAAAGGTGAGCTAAGAACTTACGTTGATGTATCTCTCTGTAACAGATGCTCATTGCTTGTAAGGTGGAATCCTCACAAGGTACCTCGGACCGTACTTTATCCATAATGACCTGACACTCATTTTCTTTGCCCATACGCAACAAGGCCAGAGCCTTGAGTACTCTAGCGCATTGGTTAGTCGGGTGCTTCTTTAGAACCTTGTCAGCCTCCTGTAAGGCCTTTTTGTTGTTCCCATTATCCAACCAGTCTGAAATCCAAAGAGAAATCTCGTACCGGGTGCCATTATATAACCTCGTCACCGGTCCCAAAGTCGCGACCGAGCGGTCCAGCGGGAGCACAGGACAGACTTGAGGTACGATCATCATTGACGCAAATATACATACCGTAAATCGGTCGCAGCCGACGTTCATTCACTGTGTTGTCCACATGGCCCTTGGACGCCATGATACTTTATGCGGTATCATAAAATCAACAAACCAGAGAAACACACGATTCCCAATCACCTCGATGCATCTTCGACGATTACAGATAATTCCGAGTCACCGAGATATTTTTACGATCGTCTTTCACGCATCAGATCGGCCTCGATATGACAGAACACGCTATTTCACAAAAATATTTTTAATCTTATCCCTCTCTCCATAGAATCGTGCAAGCGAAAAGAATGACCGGAGCACCGGACCGGCTGCGAAGTCTCTATAGTCTCTACTTGGAGAACGGAATAATGAAGTGGAAGGGACACAGCGAATCTGACTGGCTGCGCCAATCAGGCATACTTCAATCCGTAACATTTGAAGTCCGTTCGTTTTATATTTGCATTTACACAGATTTCTTGCTTTGGGCGCATTCAGCGGACTCAACAGTTGAGTGAGCGCTCGCTGTTATTGGTGTATTTTTTCAAATTATCCAATTAGTATTTTAGATTTAAGAAGAATACATTAATAGCAGCGAGCACTCACTCTGTTGAGTCTGCTAAACGCAGTCTTTTTCTCTTTCCAACCCCTGTATATATATTGAAAAATGTTGATCTTGTAAAATTAAATTCGATTAGAGATTTATATGTCATTTATTATTGGTGGGTGCGTTTTGAAATATACACTTTTCTTTTATTGTGACTCCGCACAATAAAAGAAATAGGGAACAGAGAACAAAGAATAAGAATTTCAATCTATCAGAAATCATGTGGAATACACAGTTTTTGATAGGTTAAAATTTTTAAATAGAGAGCACAGGCTCTTGCATAATGTATAACACATGAGGCATAAGAAAATGAACCAATCAAAATCCTTTATTTTCTTCCTTTTCGTAAAATAAAGCATTCTGATTGGTTCAATTTCTCTCCGCTTTAAGAAAGAAATTTCTTCGAGTTTTTTCTTTCAGATGGAACTCAATTGTATTGTATAATTTGATAAATGATAAAAGAAATAATAAAAGATCTAGCATCCATTCACTCTAATGCGCTTTTAATCGATGACAATGCACAATAATTTGTAAAATAGATGTTGAAAGTTATAACAAAAATTTATTTGGTTTTCTTTACGTATCAGAATATTGACTGGGTATCTTGAAACGTGTGAAAGTTACAGAACTGAGTAAATTTATCATGTAAATTTATTAGATTCTAATGAAATTATAAATATTCCAGTAAACTTTTTCACTTTTGTAATTTTAATCTCATTTCAAAATACATAATTAAATCTTTAATTTTTCAAAATAATTTTGTAAAAAAAAAAGGTGTTAAACTAAACAATTCTTCTCGTATGCATTATTTCGATACGTAACATAAGAAATTTCTTTGTTAATACCTTTAAAATATCTAATTTTAATTATATTGTTGAAATTTAAATGTAACATGAATTAGGTATACAAATAATAATAAGACGAGAATTTCTAAACATGGTGGACCAATCAACGAGCGACTTTCTCATGTCGTGACTTTCTTAGATGCTCTTTAATGAAATGCTTGTGAATCTGCCATCTTGCTTAACTCTACTACCTACGTCTATTGTTTGAAACTTTAAACATCTTTTTTTAACATAAATATTACTCAGTTTAATGATATTTTTGTAAAATAGTGAAAAATGAATATCTGAAATGAGATAATTGCGAAATTGTCAGTTTCTATTTCCGGCAGGTGTTACATTTTTCTCCAAGTTTTATGTATATCTAATAATTAGCTACTATGAATGACATGAATGATGTTATGACAAGCATATACGATACTTTGTTACACTTACGATATCCGCACATTACAAATACGGAGTCGAAAGATTTGGAGGCAACGATTCTCAGTGGTGAAAATCGGATTTGTTTACTTTCCTGGCTTCTGACAGAGAAATTACCATCAATTGTCACTCATTTGGGAAAGCTAAAGAATTTTGCTTTGGAAGGTATTTCTACTTTATTTATACAATTTAATGTTTCACATATATTCAACAGCTAAATTACAAATTATATTATTAATTCTCATTTTCAGTGAATTTATACATGCAGTAAAAAATTATATTTAAAAATGTGACATATTAATGTATTAGAAAGTATATGTATGTTGTTTTGTAGATCAGGTGTTTGAATATTACTCTCGGATTGGAATCTGCAACAATAAGGATGTATTACTGGTTTGTTTATAAAATATAGATATATTATGCTGTATAATTATATTGACATAATTGCTCTTATATAAAATATACTTATGTTAGGGTAAATGTTCCTTGAAGGAACAACTGCCAACTTTGAAATTATTGCTAGACTTTATGAGAAAGGTGTATGTAAAACCTATTGCAAGTACAAATGAGACAGAAGGAGCACTTACAGATATTTTTAAGGTATGTAAAGATATGATAATGTTGAATAATTATTTTTATGAATGTATATTAATAATTACTGAAATATATATTTTTTTAATATTTTTAGTTGTGCACTAATGATATTGATCAGGCATCCTCTCTTTCTACCATTAAACCAAAAATAATTTATGCAGAAGCTATTAAATATCTTGAAGAGAGCGAGAGAGAAATATTAAATAATGATCGCGAAGAAATTAAAATTAACGTGCCTGAAGACTTACACGTAGAGATAAAACAGAATTATATTAATAAAATTATAAATAATATATATAAATTATACTCATATTTTATGTAAAAATTAATATAGACTGATGATAGACTGGATAACGAAGAACAGACTGCACTGTTTGACAAAGAAAAAGAAAGGTTTATAGAAGCATTTCATACAATTTCATCTTGGCCAGTGAAAGTCAGAAATTTAGACAAAGATATTTCTGATTCTATTAATTCAAACATTAAAAGTATATGCTCTGATTTTTTCTCTTTGAAAAAGGTATGAGTTTTATCTACATTACTGCACATTATTTTCACTATTTTCTCCAAAATGTATTTCCAATCACACTTACAGGTACTACAAGCAAAAGAAGAGCTGTCTAATGTAAAATTAAGAAAGGAATTACCGAAGACTGTCGCACCTTTAAACGCAATTATAGAAGATATAGTCATTTGTAATGAGGAACTCGCAAATCTAATAAATGAATGATTTTATATGTATAATCGTGTATATGTAGGTCCATAATTGTTTAGTGTAATTTATAATATTCTAAATATTAATATACAAAAGAATAGATTGTCTATTTATATAAATAAATTCTAAACACATCATAGATATTAAAGAGATGGTATAGAGGAAGGTACTTTGATAATAAGATTAAAATAGAACAATTATTTAAGTTTTTAACTTATGTATTTTATATTTGTCAAATACATTTCTGGCTGAATTTAAGATCTAGGTCGTTCCTTCTTCTCTTTGTAAAGAGCAAGTAAAGAAACGTTTGCAACTTTCACCACTTTAAATCGTACTCCAGGAATATCACCGACGGCATGACCTTTACGACCAAAGCCTGCCACTAGAACTTCATCGTTTTCCTCGATGTTGTTAAGACAACCGTCCCTTGGCACAAAGGCTGTAATCTTCTTTCCGTTCTTAATCAGCTGTACCCTGACACACTTGCGAATGGCAGAGTTTGGCTGTTTTGCTTCTACTCCCCTATTGAATGATAAAATATCAATAAGTATCATAATATCATTACGACAAACCACACATATGGAAATGTTATTAAAATTATCACATGGACGTTATTACTTACACTTTTTCCAAGACAATGCCTTTAGCATGAGAGGCACCACCAAAAGGGTTAGCCTTCCATCTGGTTCCCAAATGTGCTTTTTTATAGTCTTTATCATTCCATCGCTGCTCACGTCTGTGGTTCACGTGCTTACGCGCCGTACGAAGACCTCTTGGTTTACCTACAACGCAAAGAAAATCTTACAATGAGGTTATATTCTACATTATATTTTTTCGAGCACATAAAGAGAATTCTTTAGATGGAAAAATATTAAATATCTATACGTTCAATATGAGATAAAATTATTGTGTGCCAACACCACGATACTATATCTGTATTGGCATATCCGACAATAATTACTACACGTTTTCGATACTTAAAACACGCTACATGATCGCATCAAGAAGAAAGATATTATTTGTGCATTTATTGTTGAACAAAATATATCGACAGAATTTTTATCGAAAGATTTTGGCTTTTCATCGTTATTTCTAAACTAATAATTTTTAAAATAATAATAAGAAATTTATAATACAAACCCATCGTGTCGCGTGCAATTCACAACCGGAAAGAAGCAATCGTCCATCAGCAGAAATGCAAATCGTAATAGTAAATTTAGGTTGTATCGTAGGCTAGGGAATTTTACGGATTCTGATATTCCAAGATCGAAATCAAACTACGTATCGAAGATTGAGATCGAAAGCAATCAAGACAATTGGTCTGTTTTCTATTCCTGCACTAAACTGTTCTTGAACTCTTTTTCTCGCTTTAAATCAATATCTATCTCACTTTAAATTCCAAAAGTGTACACTAGTTCAGCCACAGAAAACAGACCCAATTAATAACTCCGTTCGCGTTGCTTGCACTTTTGACACTCGATATCTTCGATTTCTCTCTTTTTAAGGCAAAATATGTATCTATCTCATTTTAAGTGCAAAAATATTTGAGAATTTCATGCAACGCGAACAGACTTAATGAAATTTGACCAATCAAAACAATAGGAGTTAAAATTCCTTTGTCTTCATTGGTCAAATTTCAATTTTCAATCTTCAATCTCAAGATACCTTCTCAGGTGATGCCGACAACGCCCATTTTCAGCGTCAAAATAGGTCACAATCAAATTTGATATTCATCAATTTTTATCATGTGACTTATTTTGACACTGAAAATGAGCGATCGTTAATATAAAAAGGCACTTTCAATTTTCAATGCTTAGTCTGATTCCAGCCTTATGGAAAGATGTATACATCTTAAAGTGCGTTCAGAGGAACGCTATTAAAAAAAATTACTATCACTCTATTTTCTTCACTCTTTAGATGAAAAAGGATATGAAATAGAGCACTAATAACGTCTTCCCGAACGTACCCCAACATATCAGTATTGGACATATCAGTAGGGGTTTTTCTTTGTATTTAAATATTGACAATGAAAAAAAATAGATATTTTACAAAATATTCTTTATTAAACACTTTATTATTAAGGTACTTTAAGCTTAACGAAAATACATTGGCATGTTTAAAATAAATTATTTATGTTAATTTATATTTATACAAAAGAAAAAAAATTATTTTTCTCTAATCTCTACTGATTTATCTAGATAGAACAAATTACACAAGATAACATAATGTAATGTTACAAAAATTACATATTTAATATGAATATAAATTGTTATAATTAAATAAATTTAACATTAACGAATTTTTTAAGAGTAGCATATGATTTAGGTAGCTTTAAAGAAATCCTCTGAACTGGTTGTATAAATATGTCCTTCGCAGAGAAGAAAGTCTAATATCTCATCTAAACGAGATATAATGTGTTTTGGTACTTGTGCCAAAATATCTCGTTTCTCAATACCACATTCAGCTTCATTTGCTGATCGAACTACCTCGAGAACTGCCACTTGTTCAGGTGACATGCCACTCATTGTATTATCAACCATTAATGAATTATTGGAAGGTAAACTGGTTTCTTCCGCAGGTTTACTAGCCTTCAGTATAACATACATGACCTCCATAAAGTGACATGTCAAATCGTTCAAGTCCTCCAGAGGATACATACGTAGAATCAAGACATGTCGTTGATTATTTTGTGTGCGTATTAGTCCATAAACTCGCACATATGTATTGATTTGTGTACAAGTGTTACTTTCAGCAGGATTCTTATCTGCTTCTAGCCACATAATAGCTGTGAGAGTACCTATGCAAAAACACATCTAAGTAAATTTTCTGTTTTCTAACAATAAAAGTAAGTTAAAAATTTAAATCATAGAAATTATTATATATATTTTTAAGATTTTCTAATTATACAGAAATTTTATGATTTGTATATATAAGATCACCATGTTTTCTATTTATAGATAAGAAACGTGATTTAAATACATAAATATAAAAATAAAAACTTAAAGATATTATCATTGTATGCAAATGCATAAAAATTTATTCAAAAGATGAAGTATCAATTTGTCAAATCTTTTCGTATTTTGTAATTATAATTGTACATGATTATCGTTAAAATAAAAAAAAACATAAATAGAACACCTGTATCATCCTGGATATTGAATGAGATTTTTGTCGTGTCTTGTTCAATATGACGTACGATTCCAACAATTGACAAAACGTTTACAGTTCTGCCGGCGATTTGCAGATCTCCTGTGGTGGACGTGATATGTTTTATTAATACGGGAACAATAGTCTTGTCATTTTGTGGCCCTTTCTTGCCGGTACCAGTACCCTGCATGCTATCGTTCATAAATCCACCTTCACCCATGGAACTTTCGTTATTCCACATGATTACAAATGACAATCACCAAGAAAACGTAAATGAAACTCAAGAGACTGAAATTTAGTCAAATTCAGCTTTTCGATAAATCTGAATATCCGAAAATAGAAGAGCTGAATTTACGCGCGTAAAACGTAGATTAGGTTAGAGACCCAGTTTGATGTCTTCATCTTTACCACTGTTAAGGCTGGATTTTCACCCGACGTTACGACGTTTAGAGTAAAATCACATGGCGCGGAAAAGGGCTGCAAAATAGAAAATGCGTTATTGGCCTAGTTTTCACCGACGATTTAAACCGGATTAGAATGTAAGAACCAACCAACTACAGTCGAGTATTCCCCTGTTACAGTCGAACGATAGGGAAATGTTTGAATGTTTAAACTTTCGGTGAAAACTTGGCTGCGTTCAACAGACTCAATAGTTAAGTGAGCGCTATGAAGTGCATTTGCTCAGTGAGTTTTTGCATCTGATTGGAATATTTTGTTAGAACTAAAAATATAGAACAAACAGATACAAGAACTCTCTGAGCACTCAATGAGCGGTCATAATATTGAATGCAATCATTGATGTATTCTTCCAAAACTAAAATTCTAATTGGATCTGAAAGAATACACCAATAACAGTGAGCGCTAACTGTTGAGTCCGCTAACCGCAACCAAAAAAACAACCAATCATCGCTATTCCGCACTTTTCCATTGCGCAAGTTTTGTGCTATGTTCATATGATGCATCAATGATGTATCCAGCATAAATATAATTTAAAAACTATTAATTTTATTTAATAATTTGCATATTAAAATAACATTTTTCAAACTGTAAAAACAATTATCATTGTTGTAGTATTTAATGTTTTACAATTAATATATTTACAATCTCGTAACAATTTTTTGAACTACTTTAACGCATTTATAATTTTTTCACATTTTATGAACATAGCATAAAAAACTTACGTGATGGAAAAGTGCGGAAAAAGCACACTGAAATCTCATGTAATAAATTATTTTTTTTTTATCTTGATATCTATATTAATGCACTTAGATTTTGTCATTTTGCTTCATTCGTCTCAACATTACATAATTCATATATCAATCAGCATCAAATTATTTTAATCTTTCAAAATATACGATGGTTTATTACAAGAACAATGACATACTCTCTATTCTGCAACATCAAATGCGCTCATTGGTTGCTTCAATGACGCATTTTTTATTCTATTGTCCAATTCTGCACAATGATTTTATCTTAATAGCAGCAAGTGTTTACTCAACTGTTGAGTCCGCTGAATACAGCCAATAGGCATCCAGAAATACGACCACTCACTAAGCGCTTAGTGAGTTCTAGCATCTGATTTGTATATTCCGTTAAATCTAAAAATATAGACTAAACAGGTACTGCACCCAATAGTTGCGTACTACAAACTCAATAGTTGAGTTAGCCCTCACTGTTATTGATTTATTCTTTCAGATCTAAAATGCTGATTGGATGATCTGAAAGAATAACAGCGAGCGCTCACTCAACTGTTGAGTCCGTTAAACGCAGCCAATGGCCGCATTCAATAGATTTAACTGTTGCGAATCTGTAAGTGGTCGCTGCTATTGAAATATTCTTTTAGATCATCCAGATTATTAGATTGATAATTCAATTTTGATTATATGATTTGTTTTTAGAGAATAGTAAGCTCACAATGCTCGATGCTTGATGCTCTTATGTAATGGCATCTTTAGGGAGCGTTTAGATTGGCCGTACTCTGTAAAAATCTAGTATAATTAGGTTAGTACAGATGCACGCGCAACATCATGAAATGAAAAGAGCACAACATTGGGTGCTTTCCATTTGATGACGTAAGTCGATACAAATCGACTTAAGCGTCGTTCTATTCTCCTTGACATTCAGAGACAAAGATAGAACAATGATTATGTTGACTTGTGTCATTAAATAAAAAGCACATACTAGTGTTTGAAAAAATACGTGTGAGGAATGCAAAAATTACAGAAGTGAAATTTAGAAAAACTCTACTATTCCGTTAGATCCTAAAATATAACCAATCAAATAAAAGAGCCTTTAGTGAGCGGTTGTCGTTCTGAATGCATTCTGAGCGCTCAGTGAGCTCTTGTATCTGTTTGATCTATATTTTTAGTTCTAACGGAATAAGCCAATCAGATGCAAGAGCTTATTGAGTGCTCAGTGAGTGGTTGTAATACTGAATGCATTTACGTTCAACCGCTCTACGAGCAAAGTTGAGTTCCAAAATTCATCGAAAAAAAAGTGTTTCTGTAAGCGGTTGTACTACATGCGCACATAATAGCGTTTTCGATCCGATCGGGTTTGCACCAACTTGGGTTAGAAAATGCTTCGCTATTGGCTGACGTTACACGCTCTACCAATAGGAGAGCACGAAACATTATTACTTCAACCCAGGTTAGTGCATACTTGGTCGGGCCGAAAAAGCTATAAGCATATTGCATAATGCTTTCTATATATTTTTAACCAATCGCAAAAACGCTGGACCACTTGAATGCCTGTCGGCATTTTTATTCTATACGTAACAATATTTTTATTCTGCGCATCCATTACGCGAAGGCAACACTTTTACATAAAAGTTAAGGTACACATGCAAACGTCAAGATCAAGCAACGGAAACAGTAACCAATCAGCTGAGCGATACCGGATAGTGGTATAAAAAATATTTTTTACGCCACTGTAAAATTCGCTATGTTGATTAATTGCTGCTTGATACTTGCATGTAAATGCACCTTTAAGCGCTTCTTTGTACAGAAGCCATTAGGACCTTCCAGGTACAGTTTCTGAACACAGCATTACATATACATA